CTTTTCGCAGACTCAATAGTAATTAAAATGAATTCTTCTTTCTAAAAATTGTCTTTCAGTCAACCAAATATTATACTTATGCAATAGTAGAATAAATTCATTAAAAGACTAATTTGTGTTACCTTTTCTTTGATTGACATAAATAATGTAAAATCATCAATCCAATATTTTTCACGTTGAAAAAAGTCATTTAAAATTTCTGATGCTTGCGAATTATTATTTTTAAAATTAAGATATGCTATTTTTAGTATCTTCTCTCTGTTTTTCTTTACTTGATGAAAATGAACATATGATTGGTTAAATCTTGATCGATCAATTGATATTAAGTCGTCTTTAGATATTAAACCACTTTCTAATAATTTATCTGGTGATATTAACCATGAATGACCTGCAAATGCTGATACACCTATTGTAAAAAAAAATATTCCAAGATAAAAGTTAGAAAATATTTTTCTAATTTTGAAAAGTTTTTCGTTTCAAAACAAGGTCTTCTGATAAAGAAAGATATACTGTATGTTCAATCCAGTTGTGAGGATCTAGACTTTACCAGCAACACTCATTGATTTGATTTAAAGTTCATTGATAGAAAGTATCATTTGGATGGATGAAGCTTTTTTAAAAGTCAAAGAATATCTATTTCACCATCTACAATGCCTTGTTTTCACTTTTTTTCGAAAAACGTACAAATGGAAAAATAAAAAGTTGGAACAATTCAGTTAATAGTCTGCACCATTAAAAATCAAATGGTCATATGCTGCTTAATCTAATATCTTTATTTTGCAATAGTTTTTCGCTCCGACTAAGAAACTCTACATATTCATAATTCTGCTTATCTTACTTGACCATTTTTAAGTTTTCAAAAACACATTTATAAAAAACTACTCTAAACTTTTTGCTTCGGAAGGTTCCTGGACATAGAAATAAAATTCTGACCTAAGGGATTAAAAAGGTGGATCACATAAAAGTCCAGTGGGCTTTTATTCTAAAGAGAGGAGGATTAGTACTTTATTACTTCGAAGATGTCCATTAAACGAGAAGTACTAGAAAACCTTTTTTTTTTGTGGATTAAAAATTATTTCATACTTGAATAAGGTGAGGGTGAATTGGTTTGATATATAGGCAATATTTGCCATAATTTTTGTTTTGTTTCTACTAAAAAATCAATAAATTTAAAAGCTTCTGGACCCAAATCACCAATTCCATATGGTGACGGTAATGATGTTATATGTAATAATATCCCAGATGATCGTCCCAGTTGTATTACCGGTTTTATATTCTATAACCAATATAAATATTTATTAATAACATAGTTTTTATTTTCTATGGTAAATACAATCTATTAAACTTCTGTTTTATAAACATGTCGAATATTTACAATTTACAAAAATAATTAAACAATAAATTATCATTTGAAGAAATCATCGGATAACATTTTCTCTTATTTTTTTAAAATTATTACTTAGTGAACAAGTGTGGGCGAGTAAAGAACGGATCGACATCCACACCCGCACACCCTACAAACAATGAAGAAATTGCAAGTCATCATTTTGTCTATTTTATGCAAAAAAATTTTCATAGATTCCGCACTTTTCGGTGAGAAGCACTGAAATTTTCAATTATTTTTTTTTCGTCATACAATCAAATGATAATCGTTCAAGCCGATAGAACTTAGTAATATATGATTTTTCAATATTTTTTACCATTGCGAGGAGAATAGAAGCCCAAATAAGCTGTGAGACCATCAGTACTTTTCTATTGATGTTAGATCGATAAATAACTCATTTTTTTCTTACGTTTTGATAATTTAGAAATGTAATCTTGATAAACATTTATGAAAAAAAATTAAACCAGTTTCTCGCTAGCTGAAAAGCCCGTGTAAATTAACTTTTCTGTAACCTGTTTTTTATATGAGCAAGTTTACACTCAAATACTAAACTCATATAAAACATATAATTTGCCAGAGTCGACTTTTTTGTAAAAAAGAATTCAGTGTACTAAAAATCAGAAGTTCTTCGTTAATGAAAAAGATTGGTAGTTATCAACATTTCCATATAAAACTTTTCCAAATAAAATTGTCTCGCAATGAAAGAAAAACAAGTGTTTTGATAATTAATATTCATCACTGTTTTTATTACATACATGATAATTGGACTTCCAACGAGAAATCTCATAGGAAGTACTGATGCCTTAAATTTTATTCAAGTGAATGCAAGAATTTTCCATTAAGATGAAATTTGTTTTTGGAGAGAAATTTCTTTTCTTCGGATCTAGAACTCTATAGCAGAGTGCTATTTGACTGCGCACTTGCGTAAATCTTTCTCTTCGTTCTTTTAACCTTCATGCGATAAATTACGTGCCCTAACATGCCCTGCAAATTTTTCTTTTGCGAGAACGAAAAAAAAACCTTCATTCTCTTTCCTTCCCTGAAGACATTTACCTGGTCACCAGACAAATAATTAATCGAGAAAAAAAGAAATAAGAGTAACGTAAACTTTGTATTGATCACATGAAAATAATCCATTGAATCATATAGAAAAAGAGAAAAAAAGATAATATACAAATATAGGTAAAACAAAAATTTTTTCATATTAAATATTGTGTTACTACATTTGTAGATCGAAACAGATATAAATAGATTATTTTCGAAGTGCTTTGAGTAATTGCATCTTATTAGTGCCAACGGCAAATTTCTACATGAAAGATCAAGCTATAATTCTACTGACCTTTTTTTCTAGCATCATCACTCCATTGTAACTTTATATTTGCTCGAATAACATAGTAAGTGCTATCGTTCATTAAAATACTACCTGTGATCTATATTTTCTTCGTACTTACCAACTTTTGATTTAGTATGCTTCAAATTTTTATTTTTTTCTCTGATTAGTTTCAGATCCAATGAATAAACTAAATAAAAGTACTTCTATCGAATTTGGTTTTGATGATTTTTGACATCGATGATTACGATAAATTACCTGGTGTAGTTTCAAATGTAGAAAAGTGAATCTAAGTCGAGTTTCAAGTTTGAACAAGTATCGGATATTGTCTTGGATGTTCTGAAAGACAGTTAGTTGTTATCCGAAGATTCGAACTTTTATAGCAACTAGATGTCACAAAAAAAGAAGAAAAAAAAACGATATATGTCGGACTTCGTTCTGTACTTGATATCCTGGTATAATGAAGATTGATGCAACATACATTAATATATTTGTGTAGATTTTCATTACTTCTCTTAAATTAGACATTATAGAAGCAATGATTAAGTATTGACATTTATAAATAGAAAATTTTGTTCGTACAAAGTTAGTTGAAAAACTGATCAATGTTCATTTCATAAATTTGCAGGGACGATTTAGAAAAAATCTAAAAAAATACGATTGAAAGATTTCTTTTATGATGCTTTTTGTTTACAATAAAGAAAAATGTATAGGAGTCAACATTTCTGAGATTAGGATTATGACTAAGGATCATAATGTGCTTATGACCCGTTTCATAGAATATTTCATTCTCAATAATTTATATGTTGCGAGCTTTTAGCATCGTTTATAATCAAAAATTATTATTTTGTTAAAGAATAAGATTATTTCTTGGGTATAGATTACTTTTCTAGAAATACGAATTATAAGTTGAAACGGAACGAATAAGTGTTCTCATTTACCTCTGCTAATATTAAAACAAAAACTGAATCGAACTGAATAACCTCTAGTGCCAAAGAAAACAAATCAACTATCAAAGAGATACCATCTATCAGCGAGATGATAACTTTAACAAGAATGCAGCATTGGTTCTATATTGTGTGACAAAAAATTGAGATAATCTTATCAATCGTTCTATTATGAACTTTGGGACCTTGGCAATACGGATATCTGAACAATAGACTACTGAATATAAAGATCTAATTAGCTGATGAATGCGTCAATAGAAAATTTGGTTTAAACTATTTTGGCTTAAGCATATTTGTGCGATAATGATTTTGAGCATACATACAAACTCATTTTATTCGCACAAATCTATTCCACAAGAATAATGGTAACGACCCATGTAGTAAAAATCGCAACAAAATCGACG